ATAGTAAGAAAACATAGAAATATATTTTTAATATTCAAGGTTAAAAGCAGCCTCTTAAGCCTGAAACTATGAAGATTTACTTAAAAGAGGTGTTTGTTTTGTTTTGTTTTTAATAGAGTCAAGTCTAAGACAAACAACTGGGAAAAAAATAGATATTCCCAACTGGATACATTCTCTTTAAAGATATGAATTTTTCACAAATCAATTTTTAAAAAATTGAAAAATGAACAGGCAACTCATTTTTTAAAATGCCAATGTCCCATAGTCACAAGAAGATACTCAGCTTCACAAGTAACCAAGAAAATGAAAATTTATTGTGCAAAAAATGAACTCAAAATGGATTAAAGACCTAAATGAAAGAGCTCAAACTATAAAACTCTTAGAAAAAAACATAGGAGGCCAGGCTCAGTGACTCAGCCTGTAATCCCAACACTTTGGGAGGCCGAGGTGAGTGGATTGCCTGCGTCTGCAGGCTCGAGACCAGGCCAAGCAACTTGGTGAGACCTCATCTCTACAGTGAATAAAAAAAATTAGCTGGGTGTGGTAGCGTGCACCTGTAGTTCCAGCTACTTGGAAGGCTGAGGTGGAGGAATCGCTGGAACCCAGCAGGTTGACGCTGGGGTGGCCGTGAGTGTGCCACTGTACTCCAGCCTGGGCAACAGAGTGAGACTCCAGAAAGAAAGAAAGAGAGAGAGAGAGAGAGAGAGAGAGAGAGAGAGAGAGAGAGGAAAAAACCACAGGTTCTTCATGACCTTAGATTAGTCAATGGTCTCTTAATATGACATCAAAAGCATAAGCAGCCAAAGAAAAAAACAGATAAATTGGACTCCATCAAAATTTAAAAACCTTTCTACTTCAAAAGACACCATCAAGAAAGTAGAAAGACAACCCACTGAAAAGAAGAAAATTTTTGCAGTCACATATCTGATTTGTAAAAAGCTTGTTTCTAGAATATATAAAGAACTATGATAACTCAATAATACAAAAACATCCTAATTTTTAAATGGCAATGGCTCTTAAAAGATATTTCTCCAAGGAAAATATACAAATGGCCAAAAGCACATGCAAAGATGCTCACCATCAGTAGCTATCAGGGAAACGCAAATTAAAAACACAATGAGATACAACTTCACATTCACTACGATGGCTATAGTCAAAAGGCCAGATAATAACACTGCTAACAGAGATGTGGAAAATCTGCAACTCCTATACACTGCATGTGGAAATATAAAACCATGCAGTCACTTTTGAAAAAAGTCTGGCAGTTCTTCAAAAGTTAAATACAGAGCTACGTATGATTCAGTAATTACACTCCTAGGTATATACCCCCTGCCCGCCAAATGAAAACATATGTCCACAGAAAAACATGTACATGAATTTTTATAGCAACATTACTCACAACAGCCAAAAGGTGAAATAACCAAAATGTCCATCAAGGGTGAGTAGACAGGTAAAATGTGATATATCTACACAATGGAATATTACATGGCAATAAAAACTAATAAAATAATATATGCTACAACGTGAATAAAATTTGAAAACAGTATGCCAAGTGAAAGAACCCAGTCACAAAAGATCACATTGCATATCACTCCACTTGTGAAATGTCCAGAAGAGGTAACTCTATAGAGAGAAAGTAAAGGAGTGATTGCCGGGGCTAAGGAGATAGAGGGTTTGGAAGTGACAGCTAAGGGGTGTGAGGATTTTTGGAGAAGTGATGAAAAGATTCTAAAATTGATTGTGCTGATGGCTACACAATCCCATGCATATACTAAAAGTCTTTGAATTGCACATTTTAAGTGAGTGAATTGCATGTTATATAAATTAAATCTCCATACATCTGTTTTGTTTTTTAAAAAAAGAAATGAAAATCGACATGGCAGTTAACACTGCATGTTTACTGCGTCTGCATCTGACAATGAGTCAGGACTCCAAGACAGAGGTCCCTTTAACCCCTCACCTCATCCCCTGGTTCCTCCCCTAAGCCACTTACTAGGTCTAGTAAAAAGATTAACACAAAGTTGATGCTTAATAACAGATAGATACCTCCTAGAAAAACTGCTGTAAAGTTATTTTTCCCTTCATTAGCTCTTTATTTTGAAAAAATTCTAGACACACAGAAAATTTCAAAAATAATACACAGAGTCATGTATATCATGCACCCAACTTCCCCAACAGTGACATCTCATATAACTATAGTAAAATATAAAAATGAAAACACTGACATTGGTATAATACTGTTAACTAGATTACAGACCTTATTAAATTTTCACTAAAAAAAGATCTTTTGTAAGGAGAAAAGAGATTGGTTTCTGGTTTGACTTTCATATTTAAATAAAAGATGCTCTCCTATATTAAATCTCTCTGCACTCCAGATATGTGAGCACCATGAATCTATGAAGAACTGTAAGTCTCCACTTGTTCCTAAAGTACCTTCCGTCTCACTGTTTCTACCCAGACCATAAAAAAGCCACAATTAAAGATACTCTGGATCCACCTGGCATTCTAGAGACTTCTCTTTCAGTGTCTATGAATAACTCACTATATTTCACCAGCAGGTGTCACTGTCTAACCTTTGATCTGCAGGTACCAAAGTACAAATGCACTAGCTACCAGCCAGGGAGAGTTTAACTCCCCAATGCACACTGTGGATTAGGCATAAAGAGCGACTTCCAAAGAATACAGAATGGAAATCGGGGGGTGGGGGCGGGGGAAGAGTAACTGTACAGTGAAGAATCCTCACAAGCACTATCCAAGTCAGGTGATCAAGTTAAATAGCAACAGCGATATACCGGCCAGGTGTGGTGGCTCTCGCCTGTTGTACCAACACTTTGGAAGGCTGAGGCAGGAGGATCACTTGAGCCCAGGAGTTTAAGACCTGCCTGGGCAACATAGGGAGATCTCGTCTCTACAAAAAAATCAAACATTAGCAGGTCATGGGGGTGCATACCTGTAGTCCCAGCTACTTGGGAGGCTGAGGTGGAAGGATTGCCTGAGTGCAAGAGGTCGAGGCTATGGTGAGCATGATCATGCCACTACACTTCAACCTGAAGTGAGTGAGACCCCAACTCAAAAAAAAAAAAAAAAAAGATACTCATTGCATTGCTGATATGATGTGATGAGAATGGCATTTCACCTTTTACCTCTGTAGATTTCCTCCCCAAAACACATTACCTCAGTCTAATCACTAGAAAAACCATTAAAGAAATGTCAATTGAGAAGCATTCTATGAAATGCTCGACCAGTACTCCTCAAAACTTTCAGGTCATCAAAAAGCAAGGAAAGTCTGAGAAACTGTCACAACCAGAAAGGGCCTAAGGAGACATGACTAAATGTAATGTGGAATCCTGGAACAGAAAAAGGACATTAGGCAAAAACTAAGGAACTCAGAATGAAAAACATTTAGTTAATAATAATAATGATTGCTTCACTAATCACGACAAATGTGTTATACTAATATAAAATGTTAATAATAAGCAAAACTGGGCCGGCCATGGTGGCTCACAACTATAATCCCAGCACTTTGGGAGACAGAGGTGAGAGGATTGTCTGAGCCCACGGGTTGAGACCAGCCTGGGCAACTTGACAAGACCCCATCTTTACAATATTTCAAAAATTAGCTGGGCATGGAGGCGCATGCCTGTAGATCCAGCTACTTAGAAGGTTGAGGCGGAAGAATTACTTGAGCCCATCAGGTGGAGGCTGCAGTGGCCGTGAGCATGTCACTGTACTCCAGTCTGGGTGACAGAGTGAAACTCCGACACAAAAAAATTAATAAAAAATAAGCAAAACTGAGTGTAGAATATGAGAATCCTACTATCTTCACAATAATTCTGTAATTCTAAAACCATTGTAAAATAAAAAGTTTGTTTTAAAAGTATTCACTAGCCCACACAATTCTGCCACACCAACATTGTATTTTAAGGAAAAATTCCAACTGTTTAAAAGCTATTGTTTCCTCTGCAGGCATGTTTTTTAAGTGATCAAAAGATATAAAAGCAAAACTTCAGGCTTGGAGATCAGAGAGGATATGTGATGGAGAAAAAGGAGATTCCCTGAGGATGAACAGAGTCCCAGGTGAGTTGTATCATAACCATCACAGTACTAGCAACATAGCTCTTTTCACCTTGAAACCCGAGAAAACTGTCAGTGTGCCCACAACATATATACAGCCTCTTGCAACCACAGGGGGAAAAAAGAAGGGTAGAAGTCACCATGCTAACAGAAAAGTTGGAAGTGCTAGGAAGTTATCCTTCAACCAAGGTTTTTGTTGAAAGATAAATCAGCCCCTCTGAGAAGTTTTATGACCCAAACTGCCCTTAGGTCCCAAAGCCCCAAGAAACATCTGGTGTCTAAAAAGTTTCTACTTTCAACAAAGTAGTCAGAAAAGTACTCAATATGTATGTTGATTTAGTAGTCTTTTACATTTTATTTGCTCTGGTTCTATTTTTAAAAATGTGCAGATGGAAGCATGGTAGTTGATAAATGTTATACTGCTTCAATAAATAGGGCTGAATGGTTTCCTTGCTTGTTTTTAAATGAAAAACTGTGGCTGAAATGGCTTGTGTGCTAGATTCTTGCTACCATGTCTAAAGAAAGCCCAGCTGCAATGTGAGCCATCATTCTTCACCTGGTGGCAGCTATCCACACTTCAAGAATAGTGTCTATGAAAGGAGGAAAGGCACTTCCCAGCTTCAGTCGTTAAAGGTGCAGCAAATGAGAATTAAGACTATCCATATCTCAAAAAATTGTTCTAATGATAGTAAAAACTTACCCCATGCAAGAAACTGGCATACTGTACAGCAAATCAGAAACTAAAACCTAGAAGGTAAAATATACAGAATCCACAAACATGTTTACATACATTTCATGGGTTAATCTGATATTTAAAAAAGTACTGCAGAGTTCACCTATAACTTCAGGGGTGAGAGCTGAGTGATCCTCTTCAGGAAGGATAATGCAGGAAAAGTGAGAATAAGCTGTAATGACTTACTACCTACGGGAATGAGATGAGTGGGCTGGGACTCTTCCAGTTTGTTCCTCAACCAGTCAAAATCCTGGTATCTTCGACGAACAGAATATTCTGGCAGGTCAAACTCTACCCGAGTGCTCTGCAAATAAGAAGAGAATGGAAAAAATAAACATAAGGGAATAGCATATTTTGGCTGAAAGGGAGGAAAAAAGTTCTTAGAATAACCAAACTGGGCAAGAACACACTTTCCTTCCATCAAACACATCAGCCAGATGGCAGAGTTTACCAACACAGAATGGACTGGTCCAGGCCACTGAGCCCAGTTAAAATTCAAGGAGCTAAAATTAAAATGTCAGGTTCTGTTATTCCCTACCCTCAGGAAATAAAATTCAGCTATCCCTTGGAATTGTTTGAAAACATTTGATTCATTTCCTCCAAGCTTAACTCTAACAATTTCTTTTAGCAGAATAATTTCACTTAGGCTATTGCTACTGAATCCAAATATGTGAAAAGAAATTAAGTCTCCACCTTCTGCTAAGTATGCTGACAAGTTTTGGGGAAGGAAAAATAAAGAGGAAAGATAACAGATCACTGCTCATCTAGGAGGCAAAGTAGATGAAAATAGAAAAGGCTTTGCTTAATCTGTCATATTCAGCCAGAACTATAACCTTGAAACTATGATGCATTTTAGATGAATAAGAAAAAAATCTAGACAGAAATAATACCAAAATGACATTAGATTGCAGGGAAAAATTAATAATCTTATCCCCTTCCTGAATTTTTAAAAGTTTTATGAAATGTGATTGCAGCACTTTAATAATGAAAACTACGAATGTTAAACAAAATTAAGTCGATTTATACCAAACAAGATTTTTACTCATTAGTTTGCCCAAACTAAAGTTGTATCTGATATGCCATTTTGCCCTATGAGGGTATAAACTATCTGGCAGCCACTGTTCTCAAAAATTAAAGTACATAATAAAAGTGGGTCAAGCAACATTGCACAAATTTACTCTTTCAAGTCAAAAGTCTGTTTTAATACACAACACAGGAACACACACACACATGAGTCATTCATCAAAGAAAAAACTGTGAACAGCTCTGGCATTGAGAACCATGATTTCATCCTCCCCAAAACCTGTGTTCACAGTCTGAGCAAAACGATGAAGTTAAGGGACTCAGACTTGGACTGACCCCCAACTACCTCTTTCTGCATCATTCCCCTTTTCAAGTCCCACGTATCAGTATATGCCCATGAAACAAAACCCTTTCCTATGATTTGAGGAGGTGGGAAGATGTGGGGAAACTGATTCAACATTAGCAAAGAAATTAACACTGTAGAATTGGAGAGAGAGAGAGAAAAAGCAAAAGACAATGCTTAAATGCAAAGAACAAGACAAACAGAAACATTTGGAGCAGGTTGCCTAATATGCCCCAATCCTCTGCAGGGTGAGAAGAACTTTGCACCTGTGAAATTCTTCCATCCCCACCAGATTCCTGAGGTGCCACTAAGCCTCCCAGAACCTTAGTTGCCTCAACAGTTAAGAAGAGCGTTGAAAGAGAAATTCTTCCAGACTCCTCACAGCAATTCCCCCCACAGGCTCCATATGAGGACTTGTTAATGACTATGGGCTCACAAAAGGCATACTCTGAAGGGTGACAAATAAAACCAACCCATTTTCACTGTAAACAGAACTGACGGAAGGCTCTACTTCTTGCCTTCTATACTGTTACATGGTCATCAACTGATAATTTCCCTTTATTATGTTTTTCAGATCCATTTCATAAAGGATAATTTATGCAACATTTCTACCCTAACTTTGAAATCAATTTTTGGTAATTTCAAAAGCAGCATGATGAAACACACATTTTATTTTTGCTGCAACCAATTTCACTTTGGAAATTGGTTTCACTTTGAAAACAGGGTTTTTTTCTCCTATTTATTCAGGTTATTTATACTTATTTTTAAACTTCAGGAAAAATAAAAAAAATAAAAGATCAGCCATGATCCCTCTAAACAGAGAAAAGCACACCATAATGGTTTAAATCTTTCCATACTGCTCGGATGCATATTTATTCATTCACTCGTTGTCTGTATCTAATATATCTTTGATCTCCATGTCAGTAAATTCAGATCTACATAACCATTTTTAACACATATATAGTATTCCATTGAATGGTTATACAATAATTAACTCAAATCCCCATTTAAGTTATTTCCAATTCTTCAATCAATAAACAATACGGTAAACATCACTAGGCACTTGTCTGATAACTCCCTTAAATTCCTAAAGACAAAATCATTGGATGAATGAGTACACATAATTTTAATTATCAAACTGCTTCTAAAAATAAAGGAATTTATATTCTTATCACACATTCTCAAGATCTACTTCTCTTTGACGTACTGATAACTGAAAAATAATATATCATTTTTCTTTTACTTTTATTTCTTTAATAACTATTGGGGTTGAAAATCCTTTCAAATGTTTGTTGGCCATTATTTTTCTTCTTTTTCAAAATTATAAGTCAAGTCTTTTTCATTTGTGTAAGCTCTTAATCACCATTTGTAAAAAGCTCTTAATTGCTATCATGATTTGTCTGATACAGAATTTTTAAACTGTTATATAATCAATTTCACTGAATTTTTTTCCTTTAAGGTTGCTACTTTTGGTGTCATCAATAAGTCCATCCCCGTTGTAAGCTTATAAAAATATTCACCTGTATAATCTTCTTTATTAATGATTTTATTTTCTATTTACATCTTTAATCACTATTATTCTACTTCTAGGAATCTACCCTTGGCAAGGATATTTGTATAATGATCTTCATTGCAGTATTACTTAAAATAGCATATAAATCAAAGCAATCTAAGTGTTCAATAATTAAAAACTGTTAAGGAAATTACACTATATTTATTCTGTGGTTATCAGTAATTGTGTAAGACAATTTTAATGACAAAAAAGCTTCAATATGATTTTAAGGGGAAATGGCAGGTACAGAATTAATTGTAAATACAGTTCAGGTGCCATGGCTCACACCTGTAATCCCAGCACTTTGGGAAGCTGAGGCAGGAGGACCCCTTGAGCCCATGAATTCAAGACCAGCCTGGTGACATAGTGAGATCCTGTCTCTATTTTAAAAAAAAATCAAACAATTTAGTCCCAGTTATTTAGGAGGCTGACAGTGGAGCATCACTTGAATCCTGGAGCTCGAGGCTACAAAGAGCTAGGTTTGTACCACTGCACTCCAGCCTGGGGAACAGAATGAAACCCTGTCATTTATTCATCCATCCATACATAGCAAATATATTAGTATTTCATTTGTGTTAAAATCTGGATATAAAAAGCCGGGCTCGGTGGCTCAGCCTGTAATCCCGCGCCTTTGGGAGGCTAAGGTGAGTGGATTGCCTGAGCCCGCGGGTTCGAGACCCGCCTGGGCAGTGAGACCTCATCTCTACAATAAATCAAAAAAATCAGCCGAGCATGGTAGCACGCGCCTGTAATTCCGGCTACTCGAAGGCTGAGGCGGAAGGATCGCTGGAGCCCAGCAGGTCGAGGCTGCGGTGGCCGGGAGCGGCCACTGCACTCCAGTCTGGGTGACAGAGTGAGACTCCAACTCAAAAAAAAAAAAAAAAAAAAAATTAAAAGAAATATTTAGAACTTACTTTTCCCATATATACTAACTCTTATTTCCTAATTTTATACCACTCCCATACAATATTTTTATAGTAACAAACCAAAAAAATGCTCATTTTTTGGTAATCCTAGCACTTTGGGAGGCCAAGGCAAAAGGATTACCTGAGCCCAGGAGTTCAACACTAACCTGGGCAACATGGCAAGACCTCATCTCTACAATAAAATTTTTAAAATTAGCCAGGAGTGGTGGCACATGCCTGTAGTCCCAGTTACTCAGGAGGCTGAGGCAGAAGGATCACTTAAGCACAGCAGTAGAGACTGTGGTAGCCATGATCGTACCACTGCACTCTAACCTGGGTGTCAGAGTGAGACTCAGACTCAAAAAAAATTTTTTTTTTTAAGTAAAAGCTCCACTAAGGACACAGAGGATTTAATATAGCAGGAAAAACATGTTTGATCCTTTAGAAAGCAATAAAGTTTAAAAAATCACCATAAAATAGAAGGATATTCAAACTCTCTGACCCAGTAACTTGTTTTACTAAATTTTTTTACCACAATTTGTTCTAGAAAAGATATAATAATACATAAAATACGATCAAATGACATAAATTAGAAGTAGTTGAAAAAAATAAGGACAGAGAGAAAAAGTAGAATCAAGAATGAGGCTAGCAAAACACACTCACAATGCAATACTGCATACTTGTTAAAACTAGGCCATAGCCGTTACTCCGAATTTCTGGAGAAAAACCCACTTACGGGACTCACAGTATTCATAAAACATGCAGACCAATAAAACTGCAACTATGAATATATAGTAATATTTTCCTCTGTGAAATTCAGGATCCAACTTAGAAAAATAAAGAAATACACATTGATTTTCTAATATCTGTGGTTAAAAAGATAAAGAAGAAAGAAAGGGAGGGAAAAGAAAAAAGAAAAGCACACACCCATAATTCTGCAATCAAAGACATCACTACATCACTACATTGTTTTGCTCTGTATCCTTCCACATTGTGTGTCCACAACCTAGAATGTCCAAAATCCCAAGATCTAAAGTCACCTATAAGAATAGGCTGCCAAACGCACAAGAATCGTAGCAAATGATGTTCATTTTTACTACATTGGAAATGTAACACCACCAACTCCATATGAATACTTCCCTGGTCATCTCCAGGCATTCCTGACAAGTTTTTTAATTTTTGGAAGACCTAGCACAGAGTCACAGTCTAATCAGTCAGCCAGCAGGGCATCCTGTCCACTGGGCCTCAACTACCACATAAGGTCTCATCTTACATCCCAGAAACTGATGTGCCCAACAACTGTGGCCCAGAGCCATTCTAAAGAATGTCCATTCATTCCACTCAATGTTCACTCAATTTTGGATTTACAACTCACTCACTCCAGAGAGATCTGTTCTTCATCAGAAGTGCTATCTATCCACCACAGATGGATCCTAAGAAGTCTAGGCTATCCCACCTCCCAAAGGGACCTCTTCCCTTAC